GTGAAATATTATTATCTTGAATATATATTTTTAAGAAGAAAAAGCGAAATACAGTATTGACTAATATTGTGGTGCCACTGTACTATTAATATACTTAAAGTTTACGAAGAGTATGGAAATGGTCCATTTCACGTGATCAATAATTTTGTGGTGCCACTATACTATTAATTATTAATGTACTTAAAAGTTTAATTACCAAGAATCTCAATCAAATCAAATTTTCTAAATATCTAAATTATTAAATATGAAATATGCGATGTATGAGTTGGATTAAATATAATCCGATCTAACAAATTTTTATGACCAAAATTTGTAAACGGGTTGGGTATCCAAAGTATATATATAAGAACAATTTTACTCATCCGACTCAAAAGTGACTACTAAAATAATAGTATAGATATATTTAAAGTTTAATTAAGAAGAGTCTGGATATGGTCTATTTCACGTGATCAATAATTTTGTGGTACCACTATACTATTAATTAATGTACTTAAAGTTTCCGAAAAGTGTGGAAATGGTCCATTTCACGTGTCTTTCTGTCCCTTTCAATAATTCAATAGATCTTCTTTATTTTTTGGTAAAATAATTGAATGAATATTATTGTTATTTATGTCTACATTCATTATCCTTATAAACACGTGTTGTCCTGTCCATTACCGTTATTTTAAGTTTCCCATGGTCACACAAATTGTCGTGATTTTAATAGATTCATTTTAAATAGCTAATGTGAGAATCTATTTTTTTTTTTTCGTTTTTGGGAATCTATTACTCCCTAAATTCTATAAGTAATGTTTTAGGAGAATGCACATAGATTAAAAAATTATTTAATTTTTTGTTTATTTTTAATTAATTTTGTATTAAAATTGAAAACATCATCTATATAAGAACAACATTAGAAGCTTAAAACATTACTTCTAAAAGAATGGAGAGAGTAGATTACCCAAATTAGTTTGTAACCAAGAGAGTAATATCCTTCTTTTCACTTGTCGTTTATGTTATATAATCGGGATAACAATAAATCTTTTCCCAAACAAGATCCAATCATCCAACCGTATATTTCTCTTTTCTTTGATAAACACACAAACAAAGACGATTCACAATATGTAATTGCAGTTTGAGTTCATCTAATTTTGATTCAAATAATGAGAATGATTATATATATATATATATATATATATATATATATATTAGCAGCTTAAGAATAAACAAAAATGAAAGGAATAATGATATAAATTATAGCAAAATAAGAATAAAGAAAATTACATGGTTAGCAAAAAAAATAATACTAAGGCACTCCAATTCTAATTCCAATCAAGATCTTGATTGGTTCAGTTTCAAAGTTGTTTTTGAAATTAATTTAACATTTCATTCAAACAAAAAAAAAAGAATAAAGAAAATTGAAAGAAACAACAATGATATAGTTGAGATATTTAATGAGATCAAACAACAAGCAAAGCATTATTACTCGATGTGGCAGACATATTTTGAAAGTGACACTAAGTATCGACATTGTTCAACTATACCAATTGTAAAAAATTATAGTGTGATTTGTACAGTTGTCCTAGCCACAAGCATGTGAAGCATCTGCTTGTGGCTAGAGAATATATAGTTGTAACTCGGCTCCAATTTACGAAAACTTTATTAGTTTAGGTGGTAATAGCTGAGAGATTTAATCCCATTTAATACCTAGCATCACGGGTTCGACTGATACTTCCTTCCTTTTAACTCGTTTGTTGTTTTTTTTTTCAAAAAAAAATTTTTACATGCCCAAAAAAAATATGTGGGCTTGTAGCCCCAAAAATTATAGCGCCGGCTCTGGATTTGTAGAGAATATGATTTCTATATTTCTCAAAAAACTTTACAATGCAGAATTTATACAAGAGGAAGGGGAGAGACTCTAGGGTTAGGTAATTATAGAAACTTCCTAAAACAGAGCAATAATATATTATTAACATGATTTGTTCTTCAGTAAACCAAAACCCAACTATGGTGTTTCCAAGTTTTGAGATTTAGAGTTTATGTTCTCCCCAATTCGATTTTAGAAAAGCGGACTGAACAATGCTACTTCTTTTTACATTTGGTGAAATCTTAGGTTTTTTTCTTGTTTTGAGTTAATCTAACAGTTTCTAAATTGCTACATCAGCAACCGCTAATGGAATATAAATGTTGTCTTCAATAATTAACTGAAGTAACAACGAGTGTTCCTCATGAACACTTTCAGGGTGTGAATCAACCGGTGGAGAAAGAGAAACATAAGTATGGTTTTTTTTATTTTATTTTTTGGTAAACGAAAACTGTTAGAGTAAATTTTTTATAGTGATAGTTCCCACTGCAAAGTGGCCTCATATTCAGAAAAAACTCTACTTCCGCCTTGGACTTACGAGTTAGTATACACCGCTTGCCCCTAACCGTATGGAGATATTTTAATTTGGAGAGGCTCAATACCACTGTGGTGACAGAGTGACTCGAACTCGATATTACTTTGAAATGTCGTAGTTGGAATTTTAATTTGGAAAGGCTCAGTAACACTCATCAGTGTTATTTTGGACTAATGGGATACAATCCCACGCAAACTTGCAATTACTTCCAAAAGTCCATCAAAGTTGAAACTTGACAAATATATATATAACCCCATCAAATTTGACTATCAAATGGTAAATCTGTGTCGTTAGTTGCTAAAGTGTTCCGTCAATCTCAGCATCATAAGCCGGGACTAAAATTAAAACTAAACCAAAACTCGATCTAAGATTTTTAACCCACAAGAAGGAAATATGACTCAAGATACAACAAAAAATTGTCATCACCAATTTACCACGTGACTCCTTTACATTGATATTCAGTAGTCCATGCCACATGAGTTTGAGTATCCATAGTTGTTTTTGAGAGCTGCAAACATAGTCTTCGCATGAATTACCATTGATTTCCAAAATATTCACAAATACTATTAAAATGATAATTTTATTTAGATTTAAAACGTGTGTCATACATTGATAAGTAATGCAATTGCACGCAACATTGAAAAATAAATGAATACAAAGAAGAAAGAAGAAGAAAAGAAATACTCCCTTTGTTTTAAAATATAGGATGTTTTAGAGATTTTTTATTGTTTCAAAATATAAGATGTTTTACAAATTTTTATGCAACTTTTAAATACATTTGATGTTTTATGACCATTTGTATTCTCCAGTCTTTTATATTACTAGTTGAAATTTTTTAAGTTAAAAATTAAATGATAGTTTTGTTTTTTTTTTAAAAAAAATATGTACTTTTAACTTAAACATACTATATTTTGAAACAGAAAGAGTATTCATTCTTATATAAAATTTTTGACAGTCACTTCTCAATCGAAAATATCATATATGAAACAAAGATTATAGTTATTGCAAAATTAATAACTTAGGACCTATTTTTTTTTATAGCAAATAAATTCATCCATTCAAGTTATAAACGGGCGATTTCTTTCAAGGGAAAACCCTTCTGGTGTAAAGGGGCTTACATGAGTAAAGAACTATATGATCGTGCCTTTTTCGCAAGGCAGTCAACATGGGTGTTGTTATATTGTGAAATAAAAGACAAAGTAAAAGAGGTAACAGAAAGTTCCAAAGCGCTAAAATCTTCTACTTCTGACGTAAAGGCTGGCCACTCATCGAGAATGTCTAGTAACTGAGTTAACTCATTGCAATCTAACACAAAAGCAACATCAAACAAATATAGTGAAATAAGTGATCTCATTGCCCAAAGAAGAGACTCAAACTCAGCATGAAGGGGGATAAACAACGGCGAAAGATCTTCAAACCAAGGTGAAATAAGTGACGATTCGAGACAACATTCCAACCAATACAACAAAGAGTGAAAGTATATACCAAAGAGCCATATCAACCTGGCAGACTATATAGTCTATTGTAGAAGGGGTTGGAGCAGCAGGTTTACGTAACGAAAGGGGGTCTAGGATTGTCTCGCGGGCTCTCACTAAACGAAAAGATTCTGCTTCCATCGCTGCATGTTGTAACGTGTTTGTAGGGTGAGTATCCATGTTCTCAAAGACCTTAATATTACGGGTCGTCCAGATAAACCACTTGGTCTAAGAAAAAATCTGGATCTTCTTTTCACTGACTTCTAATTCCTTCACTCTCCGAAATAGATGAACTAGATTCCCAAACAGAGAAGGAGAATTGGAAATACATTCTGAACACACGTAATTTAAGATAAAGACCATACCTGAAAAGCATGAGGACACTCGAATAAGACATGGTTGATAGTCTCCTCGTACATCCCACACCTGGGACGCAGCCGATCAGTATCTAGATGACGATCATCTAGTCGTTTGCACGTTGCTAGACAGCCCGTGGCAGATTGTCAGAAGAAATGTTTAAGTTTTTCTTGAGGTTAGATTTTTCATGATTGTGCTTGAAGTGCTGTAACATTAGGTCCTTGAAAAAGAGGTCACAATCTCTTCGTCGGCTTGTTTGCGCAGCCAAATATTCCGACCGGACAATATAATTTCCAGATTTGGTGTGGGAAGAAATAAAAGAATTTTTCGAAAATGAAAAACTCGGATATAACCCGAGGATGTGGGGCATGTCTTTTGGTGAGATAAGATCATGGAGTTTGTCTATCTTCCAAGCCTTCGACACATGATCCAATGTTTTTTTTCAGCTTAGATAAAAAGAGTGGTCTAGCCGCCGCTAGCATGCTGCACCAACCATAGGAAGGGATATTGGATGGTTTGACATAGTGAGGGCTAGAATATCTAAAATATCGACCCCTAAGCACGCGAACCAAGAGGAAGTTTGGGTACCATTTTTCTTAAAAATAAATATAGCACTCTTTTTAATGAAAATTTGAGAACTCATCGTAAATATGTACTAGTTTAAACAAACGAATGGTTCATATTTTAGAAACTCATTTCTTTGTTGAAGTGTTTCTTTAGCAAAAGAATTTTAATAACCTTTTACAAACTTTTTTTTCGACAAATTTTATTATGAAGTATATATCTTGTCTTATAACAAATTCAACTATTTTATTTTTATTAATATGAATCTCTTGAAACAATGCTCAAAGCTTTTCTTTTGTCCAGAACATATACATTATTCACCATGATTCTTACCCCATTAATTTGCAAAAGCAAAGCGTAGATACGTAGAGTACTGAAATGAGTAGATACTAAATTAAGTTCACAATGTCTTGATGAAGTCATTTAGTGAATTATGTGAAGAACCTCCAGGCAAAACAGAGGCTCTCAGTTTCTCTTTCAAACTGAGGGCTCTTATCTTCATCTCTTCTCCTTCTTGATCCACCATTAACCGTCTCACAGCTCTCTCCACCATTCCTCTCTCTAGCTCACCCTCCACGTGAACCCCAACTCTCCAGACACACTCCACGTACCTCGCATTTACCTTTTGATCAGTAGTAAAAGGCCTACAAATCATCGGAATCCCTTCCCCCATACTCTCTAGGGTCGAGTTCCATCCACAATGACTCCAAAACGCTCGAATCGCAGGATGTGCAAGCACTTGTTTCTGCGGAGCCCATTTCACAATGTAGCCTCGATCCGGTATTTCAATAGTACTAAATAATTCCTCATTAGATAATTCAGAACCAACTATGGAGCCAGGTCGGATCGCCCACAAGAAGTATTGGTTACTACTAACCAACCCAAAAGCCATTTCCAACACTTCTTTAGTTTCCATCAAAGTAAAGCTTCCCAAGCTTATGTATATCACTGAGCTTGGCTTTTGTTTGGTCAGCCAATCTATGCAACTCTGATTCTCTTCTAGTAGACTCGTAGGAGGAGCTGAAGAAACCATGTGAAGAGGTCCTACAGGATATATTGGAATTTTGAGTTCTTGTTGAAGCCTCTCCAAAGATGAAATCTCTAGACACCGAACTGTGTTGATTATCATAGAGGAAGCTGTCCCTTTCTCACATGAATTTTTAAACACTTCCACTGAGGCTTCTACTGGTGCAAATGCTGAAGTTGGTAGGTCTTTGTACCTTAAGGGATGCAACTCTGGCACTAGCTCCTCCTCACTTCCACATCCTTCTGCCAAAGCAAAATTATGGCGACAATTGTTTCAAACGTTTAAATTAATTTATGCGTTGGCCTTCCATCAACATGTTAAAATTTCAAGTTTAGAAATGAAACCATTTTTTTCTCAATATTAAATAATATAGTTATAACTTATAAAGCTAGTTCATGTATCCTGATAATATTCCTATCATCAACATATACAACGATAGTCACAAAGAAAGAATTTCCTCTAATGTTATATTTTTGGCATTTGCATTTATATTAACAAAAACAAAGTTTAATAACATTGGTAAGAAAATTTCACACTTAAGAAGAAACCAAAACAAACACTTTTTAAAAAGAATACACAGATACCTTTGAGAGGAGCCAAGCCATCTTTTGCATAGAGTTTGCACATGGCAGAGCGAGAAGCAAAAGCCGTTGCATTTTCGGTACTGAAAATAACTTTGGGAAGGTTAAACTCTTTGGCTGCAACTTCAGCAAAGTACATGAACTCGTCGTAGATGACACATGCGATCTCTTCTTGTTGTTGCAACAACAACTGACCCAAACACTTCTTGAAGCTAATCTCACACTCTTTGTTGAGTTTAATAAGAAACCAAACTGGCCCTAGATTCTTCAAATCCGAGGCTGGTAAGCTCTCTGGGATGGTGATGAAGTGAAAATTAGCTAAGTCTTTTGAAGGGTTTAAGTAATTGAACTTTGTCTGAGCAACTGTAATGGAAAAACCCTTTAAATATAGGGCTCTCGCAAGTTGCAACTGGAACCAACACTACCCTTCTCCTTCTCTCCGGCTTTTCCTCCATTTCCGAATTTTTTTTTGTTTTTATCGCAGCCACGAAAAAAAAAAAACAACAATTAGAATTATAAGCCAAAAGAAAAATATCATTCCAATATTCAAGTTGAATAATCTACTTCATTATTCAAGTTGTAATTACCATCCAATTGAAAAATCAGCCCCAAATAATTATTAGCTTACTACTTTTGGTTTGATATTTTACTTAACATGGAAATAAATGTTAGAAAAGAGATGATAGAACAGAGATGTGATAGCACACTTACTGATAGTACTGTTTTTTCTTTCAGTTTTTCTTTGATTACTACAGTCGTATGTTACTACTCAACTAAACATACCAAATTAGAAACATAATTTTTTTATTAAGAAAAGAAGCATAATAATCTTATGTTTCTATTCTTAAAATTAAATAAAAATCAATTCAATATGGTTTTTTTTTGTTGAGTAGTTAAAATGAAGTATTTATAAATATTGTTTTTCAAAAAACATGTCAAGTCGTGTAATAGGAGAAGAGCAAAACTGATGCAGGAGCTTAATCGTTAGGATTCTAATTAATTTAGATTTATTTCCTATTTAATATTTTGGCAATTTCTATTGGTTTTCCTTATTTTTCATAGGGTTTTACTTTTCTTTATTTCCTTATTTCAAGCTTATTTCTTTTCCTCTAATTGGGATTTATCTATATAAAGAGATCCTAGATTTTTGTAAGAAATAATCTCATAATTACTTTCTTAAGAAGCATAAAGCTTTCTCTTTTCTAGTGGATTCCAGAGTTTTATCTTTCAAGTTCATCGCTTGTGAACTTGTGTTTCAATCTAGGTTTAGCGCTTGCTTTTCCTAAGGTTTTCCGACTGCGTCAGGTGGTATCAGAGCAGGCTTTCTCCTGTCTCTTTTTCGAAACTTGATCAGCCATGGGAGATCAACCGGTGACCAAAGCAGATTTTCAGGGTTTTACGTCGGCTATTACCACGTCCCTGACTGCTTTAATCAAGGAGATAAAGGAATTGACAAATCAGGTTAACAAGACCAACAACAACGCAAATCAACAAAGAGGCAGAGGAGAAAAACTAATTAGGGCTTCACGAAGTGGAACTGATATTGGAGATCAATTAACGACGTTAATCAATAGGATCAATATTCAACAAAAAGCAAGAGAGGAATCAATTCAGGTTCCACAAGGAGGAAACCATCGTGTTGTGATTGAAGAGAAATTGATCTCTGATGAAGAAGAATACATGGAGGAAGAGAGTGGACAAAGAAATCTACACAATAATCATGATTCACGCATGGATGCTGATGAAGAATTCAAGAAAGACGAGATAGTTGATAGAGATAATCAACAAAGCAATCATGACTATCAGATGAAGACTAATATTCCATTATTCTGTGAAACTTCTGAATTGAAAGAGACAATAATTCTAGAAGGGGCTCTAGTGATCCAAAAGAACTTCAAAGAGTTGATTGTAGATGCTCATGGAGAGCACTACAAAGAAAAGAATCTAGGGAGAAAGATTTCAAGCGTCTTAGTTATGATTCATAGCAAGAGAAATCCATATGAGTTTTTCATAACAGTATTGGATTGATAAATGTTGTTAAAGAGAAGAAAACAATCTTAGAGGAAGTGCATGAGATTCTAATTGATTTTAAGGAGCTCAGTTCAGATGGATATCTACATGACTTCCCTCCTATGCGGGATAAGGTAGATGAAATTCTTTATCCATAATATAACTCGAGGTCGAGTTCTTTGGAAGTGGAGGAGTCTGATGCAGGAGCTTAATCGTTAGGATTCTAATTAATTTAGATTTATTACCTATTTAATATTTTGGCAATTTCTATTGGTTTTCCTTCTTTTTCATAGGGTTTTACTTTTCTTTATTTCCTTATTTCAAGCTTATTTCTTTTCCTCTAATTGGGATTTATCTATATAAAGAGATCCTAGGTTTTTGTAAGAAACAATCTCATAATTACTTTCTTAAGAAGCATAAAGCTTTCTCTTTTCTAGTGGATTCTAGAGTTTCTGGTGGATTCCAGAGTTTTATCTTTCAAGTTCATCGCTTGTGAACTTGTGTTTCAATCTAGGTTTAGCGCTTGCTTTTCCTAAGGTTTCCCGACTGTGTAAAAAACCCTACTTTGATATACATGATTGTATGTTGTTGTATTTTCCCTATCATCATCTATTATCCTTATTCTAAAGTAAACAATTGACAATAAATTAATTTTGGTAAATTAATTTAAAAATAATTTATTAAAATGATACTACAGTTAGTAATGATAATGTTAGTAAAATAAAGAAAGAGAAAATAATCATAGGAAAATATGCCGCATGTCACTTAAAAAAAATATCTTATATAATTTTAATTAGTTTATCTGAAAATCTAGAAAAAATATGTGTCAAATGTTGTTGTTTTCAGAAAATCAGGAAAATAAATGTGTCATTTTAATGTTGTTGTTTCCTATATTTTTCTAATTATTTTAATCAAATTTTTTTTAATTTCCTATATTTTAATTTATTTCTAATCTTTTTTAGATTTAATCAAAATTTATTTTATTTGTTCATGAATACAATAAATTTGGGTCCATAAGAAATCACAAGGAGAGACGTCATATGTCAGCTTGTGGTAACTTGTGTTTAGTGATAATCTTACTTTATAATATAAGACTACATGAATACCCGCGCGATACACGGGATTATGTGATAATTTATTGAGCTAGTTGATATATATTAATTGGAAAAAATATCATTTAAATCATCAGTTATTCATTTTAGTTGATTTAAAGCATGAACTATGTACTTGGTGATTAAAATGCTCAATTTATGTTGACTTTCAATTTAATCACGATATTCTCGTTGACAAAGACAATTGAGCTACAAAATCGGAATCGAAAGAAGAAAATTGTTATCAAAATTAGAACTTCAAAATTAAAAATTTCTCAATTTCTTCTCTAATCCTCTCGATTTCTTCTCAAATCCCGATTTAATCTTAGTTTCTCAAGATTTCTTCATTCGATTTTATCTTTTGTGCCTCAATTGGCTTTTTATCAACGAAAATTCGAGATTAAATGAAAAGTCAACATAAAATTGAGCATTTCAATCACTATATGCAGAATTCATGCTTTAAATCAACAAAAATAGACAACTGATGATTTAAATAATATTTTTCCTATATTAATTGATTTTTTTTATCTTTCAATCGAATTGTGTTAATATACTTATAGGTTTACCACAAATAATGATTTCAAACTTTATGTAGTTCGTCCAATTGTTGTGTCGATCTTGTTTTTTGGGGAAAAGAAAGAAAGAAGTAGACTTCTTGGGTTTGTTCGATTCAACATTTTCATTTTTCTTAGCTCGAACTTTTGCTAAAAACATATTCATTTTTTAGTTCGTTTCTTCCCAAATAAAATAAATCATAGAAAATCATAGAAAACAAAAAGTAGAATTAAAGATCGTGCGTGTTAGTTTTGAATTTTTTTATTTTTGCACTTTCTTACACTTCACCTCAAGCTTCAATTGTTCAAAGTATTTTGTCTTGTCCTCGAGCCAGTTTTTTTCTATGACATTGCTATGCTCTTGTTGATTTGACACAGGGGAATCAATAATGGATTTTTTAGTAAGTGAACGTTTAACGGACGAGAAGAGGAAGAGGTAAAGCTAAATTAAAATTTGAAGCCATAATTGTGAAACCCTTAGATTGCAGGAGAAATGGATTTATTGATGTTAACTCCGATTAGTGACAACAAAAAGAACAATAAGAATATGAAAGAAAATGAATGAAAATGAACAAAAAGAAAAAAAATGACTAAAACGAGAGCCAAAGGGAACACGAAAATTGAACGATAAATGGTAGCCAAAAATTTGAATAAATATTTAAAATAATAATAATTGAAAAAGTTATTTATTTTATTTAGTTTATAAATTTCATTTACAATTAATGTTTTATATAAATTTAAAATAAAATATAGTATAAATTTAATATTTATTAATAAAAACTTTACTTGAAAGCATTTATTTATTTATTTAAGTATAAATACTTATTTTAAATAAATTCGTATCATTCATTTAAATTAAATTTTTTGATAAAAGTGTTATATATAAAAATATATAATAAAAATACCGAAAATATTTCAATATGGAAATGTAAATAATATCATAAAAGATATTTTAAAATTATTTAATAATTAATAACAAATTTTATAATTTTGTGCTTCTTTGTTCCTTTTAACAATTTTGTTCTATCATTCTTTTTTGTTTTTGATGAATGAAGAGGAAAATTATAGAACCCACATGTCTGAAAATGAAACGAAAATTATTTACAAATGGTAAAAAAAATTGAGAAACAAAGAGGAACACAACATTCCTACTCATTCTTTTTCTTCAAAAGTAGTTACAAATTGGAATCGTTAAGATTTTTTTTCTAAGTGAAACTAAATGCAATTATCATCTTTTCATATGCTGATTTGGTGGAAGAATAGAGAGATGGCCAATTTTCACATATATATATATATATATATATATATATATATATATATATATATATATATATATATATATATATGATGTAGGCCATATACAATATGATGTTCTAATATAGGACAAGAAAAACCACATAAATTATGTTATTTCTTATTATCAAAAAAGAAAAGGAGATAGTATAAAATTGTCACAAATTTTGGAGCAATGATTGACGTCCAAAAACGTAAAAAGTTCGAAGCAATCATTGTAAGAAAAAGCAGATCTTTCTGAAACATACAAAAAATAAACGCAAAGAAAGATTTTTTTACCTAATACATGAACAATTTTACGGGAGGTAAGGAAAATCAACATAATGTTTTTTTTGTTAAAGTAAATCAACATAATGTTAGAACAATTTACCTAACAAATGAACCATTTTACACAAAATAAGCCAGAAAAATGACAGGGGAGAGTCGAGTGTTTAATCTCGAATCTTGCATATACTTCGGAGCAGCCCCGGCTCAGATGGGTAGGGCGGAGGTGCGACGGCCCGGAGCTTTTTTTTTTATAAAAAAATTTTATATATAAAAAAGGCCCAAATATTTTTTAAAAATATTATTAATATGAGAATTATATTTTAAGAGGCCTAATTATTTATAAGAAAATGTATAAAAAGGCCCAAAATTTTTAAAATAACAATTTTTACTATAAAAACTCCGCAAAATTTTTTAAAATTAAGTAAATTTTCTCTTTGTATATAATAATAGGCCAAAAAAATTTTTTTTGTCCTAAGGCTCTCAAATATATTGAGCCGGGGCTGCTTCGGAGTTAGAAGTGGAGAGAAATTGAATAGTCTTGTCCATCAAAAGATCTAGTTCTACTATAAAAAATATTTGACAGTAAAAGAACATACAAATATCACTGTGTAAAATACAATCTAAAACATATGTATCATTGAATCTTCATTGCAGCTCTGATGATCGCTTTGGGAGAAGATTTGGAAGCTTCCCTAAATGCTCGAAAGGGCGACAGAATTCAAGTCAGTCATTAACCGACGTTAGACTTATAACAGACGTTAAATCCCATGTTTTTGGTAGTGATATCTTTAGCTACATGCGTAAATACATTTTTTTACCATGAGTTAGGAATCAGCTATAATTGATCTGCGGGCAGGGGCGGACCCACATTGGTGGAAAGGGGTGCAGTTGCACCGGGTAATATATAAATTGTTGTGATTTTGCATTAGATATATTGATGCAATTGGTTCAGTGGTTATAAGATATACCCTATAACCATGAGGTTGAGGGTTCAATTCCCCACAAGTATATTTTTTTGCACTGGGTAAAACTTTTGGCTGGGTCCGCTACTGTCTGCGGGGACAAAGATGCTTGAAAATAGTTGGCTAAATTATAGAATGGTTGGACCACAACACGTGATTCTTACATTAGCGTAACGCCAAAAGTCATAAAAGTAGAAGGTTTAACTTTTTGGCTTGGTGAGAATGAGATATCATATTCGAAGAACTTCTACAAAAAACCTTCCAAATGACTATTACCAGCTTATCTTCAACTTGAAAAAAAAAATAGGTCAAACCTACAGAAACAAATTTAACATGCATTCTAATGCTTATATATTTTTGAAAAGGTCTTACAATCATATACACTAGCTAGAGCTTGCCTTTTATATCCGAAGAATAGATTTAGACTTCTTGTCACATAGTCTTCGTTGATGTAAAATTTATCATAACCTAACAGGCTTGATAGAAATAACCGCATGCTATATTGCGAGTTAAATTTGAATTCGTGAATTGACGTATATTTTTATAAGTTAACGGTAAAACTTACAAAAAGTTTTAGTCATATGAAAGATTTTTTTTGGTAGAAAACCCAAAAAATACAACTGTTGAGAATTTATTCATGAATCAATTATGGATTTGCCATTTTTTTGGATGGCATTTGTGGATTTTGCCATTTTGAATAGTTTATGGATTTTGCTCATTTTCAGGCTACGGAAATATGATTTAACATGCGTTTTATTCGTTATGTTTGGGTTTAGTCGGTTGTGGTTGTTCTTAGAGTTTAGTATTTTGTATAAACTACATATTTTTACCAAAAAAATCTGAAATACATATATTTTTAAGTGTTAGAAAATAGTATATCCATAAGATTTTAGTAAAAATGACAATTTCAAAAGATTTCTATGAAAAATGGCAAAATAAACAATAATCTCTTTATTCATTTGGTACGGTTGATTGATTGATTGTTACTACAATTATTAAATAATATATGGCATGATAGGTTTAGTGGTAGGGACATAAATGTTGCGTGATTTCATCATATCATGGTGGATTGGTTGGCTTTTTTTGTGATTTCATCACATACATATACTACAATCCTCGACAACTATTTTTAACGTTAAAACCAAAAAAGTTTCCCTCTTTTTATGATGAATAGTATAATTTTACATTTATAAAAAAAAAAAAATTTGGACCCCATTGATAAATTATCAAATTGTCACAAGTTTTGTCCATAACTGGAGCAATAAATTGTCGTCCAATGAAAAATAAAAAGTGTGGAGCAATAATTGTCGCCATAATAATTTGGAAGAAAAAAACAAGTGTAAGGTTAACTGAGACCAAACAAAAAAAGGGTTAATTGAGACAAACATATCTTTACCCAATAAAGACAATACAAAACCAAAGCCTAAAACGAGAAAAATCAATCATACTAGTTCACAATGAATCTAGACTCAATAAATGACATATACTGTATTAACATAGTGTGCATAATTTTATTTCTTTTGTTATAAAACTTTTATATGTTTGATAAATTAAATACTAGTGTCAGGATTATAAATTCAACCATCCATTGAATAAAAACTATATTAATTAGTACTCTATTTATAGTTTACATATGGCCGAAGAATTATATATGGACCCTTGATTGCATGTTTAATAATGTGAAAGCTCATGCATACAAAATTTAACGGGTCTATCGTCTATATTATTATTATTATTATTTTTGAGACCAAGGGTCTACAAAAATATATTAGGTTTGTTTTATTAAAATACTGAAAAAATACCTTTTTGAAATAGACAATCCACACTACGGTTTACCAAAAAGAATTAACGATTACAAAGAATCGATAGAGTTCCACGCACACAAATAATTTTTTATTAAAAAATTTTGGACCATGTGCATGAGCACTCTCCGCACATAGGGAGAGCCGGCACTGACTACAATTATTAAATAATATATGGCATGATAGGTTTAGTGGTAGGGACATAAATGTTGCGTGATTTCATCATATCATGGTGGATTGGTTGGCTTTTCATTTTATTTTTCTTGTTCACAGCAAAATTGAACTGAAGATACGGAAGCAAAAATCTCTTTGCCAAGGAGTTCGCTCCCAGATCATGGGAAAGAAATATAAGATAAGATAGTTTGTTTCCGAGTCATTTGATAGTTTGATTATATTTGTAATAAGATAACAAACGGTAAATGCGAAAAAAAATCTTTCTTGAACCATTTGGATGAACCTCGTATGATTGGTTCGATGTTAGACCCAAATCTTCTATGCGTATGTGAGTCTCTGTAACAAAACAATTCAATACAAAAACATAATTTCCTCCATTTCATCTTATTCTTTGTTTCTATTTGACTCGACCAATAGCCTACGCAGCAGTTAATTCAACTAATATCACTACTTAAGTCAGATTTCTTAATCCTTTAGATCCATGAATTTTTGTCAATCCTCAACAATTATTTTTCACGTTAAAACCAGAAAAGTTTCCCTCTTTTTATGATGAATAGTATAATTTTACATTTATATAAAAAAAAAAAAAATTTGGACCCCATTGATCAATTATCAAATTGTCACAAGTTTTGTCCATAACTGGAGCAATAAATCGTCGTCCAATGAAAAATAAAAAGTGTGGAGCAATAATTGTCGCCATAATAATTTGGAAGAAAAAAACAAGTGTAAGTTTAACTGAGACCAAAAAAAAAAGGGTTAATTGAGACAAACATATATTTACCCAAGAAAGACAATACAAAACCAAAGCCTGAAACCAGAGAAAAATCAATCATACTAGTTTGTACTATACCAGTTCACAATGAATCTAGACTCAATAAATGACATATACATTTAATAAAAACTATATTAATTAGTACTTTATTTAGTCTCCCTCGTTTGGGCGTAGTTTCCGGGGATATCTTTGTTTTCCGCCGGCTTTGTGTTTCAAAATCGTATTCCACCCTTGTATTTCACAATCGTATAATATAAAAGAAAAATTCTAGACGAAAAAAAAAAAAAATTAGTACTCTATTTATAGTTTACGTATGGCCGAAGAATTATGTATGGACCCTTGATTGCATGTTTAATAATGTGAAAGCTCATGCATACAAAATTTAACGGGTCTATCTTCTACAAATTTTTTTTTTTTTTTTTTGTTGACACCAAGGGTCTACAAAAATATATTAGGTTTGTTTTATTAAAATACTGAAAAAATACCTTTTTGAAATAGACAATCCACACTACGGTTTACCAAAAAGAATTAACGATTACAAAGAATCGATAGAGTTCCACGCACACAAATAAGGATTATGGTAATGAAACAATAACCAACTAAAAGGATTGTGAAAAGAGTATGAAACAGGAAAGTATTTTTTATTAAAACTATCAACCTAATTGGGTGTGAAGGAAAATAAACCAAAAAATGTTAATAGCAAGCTCGATGTGTCTCAGCTATGATCAGCAATGGATTGAGAAATTCTTTATATATAGCTTGTTACGTTGGGGCTTTTATAAAAATTAATTGGTTCCTCGCGTCGTCAAAAGGAGAAGTGTTTTGTTATATCATCAAGTGACAAAAGTGAGAAACGACTTCATAGTCATCAACGACTGTCAAACGAACATTCGCTAACCGTAGTCGCCAACGACTGCTAAAACGAATAGAAACTTTGATAGCGAAAAGTCCAAGTAACACACCTTGTAAAAGCGGACCAAAAAACTTTTAAAACCGGTTCAAATAACCAAAAATTAGGGTATTCTCCTAATATACACAGCTAAGCTATTTACCAAATCTTTACGGACGATATTAACACCAATATCGAGGATAACCAAATTACTACTACTAGCCCACTATTCTAAGATTATGTAACCCAAACAGATTCTGGAAAAAATAATAGCAAAATTCCAAAATTTACAGAGAAAAATAAATGAAAAACATATTGTTCCAGCCAAAAAATAACACTAATTAAGCCTGATCATGTTATAGAATGCGTGTGTACCCATGTTTTATTTAATCCAGAAAAAATAAACTACAAGATTTAACGTTGGTTATTAAGTTTGGCCCCATTTTTTATCCCCCACACTCCTCTCTGGTCCTTATAAACTTCTCCTTCCAATTCATAAAACTTAAAAATAATAATCACTTCGTTAGAAAATACAAACTTTTTTCTCTCTAAGAAACCATGTTGAGTGCTTTTTGGGGTCATGCATCAGCTATTGCTATAGCTTCACCAGTGGCCAGCATTGTGGGTTTTCAAGGTGATCGGACTACCATAAGGTGATTTTCTTTATTTGTACTTTTAGTTCGAGTTTTCTTTGAATATTAAATTTTCAATCTTTATATATATCTTTTTTTTTTCTTTTTTTTTCGTATATAAGCATGCGTATTTATAATGTACATCTTCTTTTTTTTTACGTGTTAATTTAAATTAAGACGACCAACATACGGAGAGATGAAATTTGTGGAAGTCGTTGAAAAACATAGAAAAATGCCAACATTTCCTCAATCATTTCCAATGAACGGTGGTGATGGTCCTCACAGTTACCTCCACAATTCCTCTTATCAAGTATGTAACAATGATATACTAACTTTCTTTTTCTATATATAATGTGATTTTTAAAGCATTAATGAGATCACATTTGCTAAGATAATATATATCACTTGTGATACAGAAAGTGGCGATAGATGGCGCTAAAGAAAGGACAAGGGAAGCAATCTTAGAAAAACTCGATCTTGAACTCCTGAACCGTAATTCTGATGCAAATATCTTGAGAATTGCGGATTTTGGTTGTTCCATTGGACCTAACACGTTCGATGTTGTCCAAAATATCATAGATACGGTAAAACAAAAACATCTAAAAAAAGAAACACATATTGGTGCTCCTCTCGAGTTCCAAGTATCCTTCAATGATCAACCCAACAATGATTTTAACACACTTTTTAGAACTCAACCTCTCTTTTCCAGACGAGAATACTTATCCGTCGGAGTTCCAGGCTCCTTTCATGGTAGAGTATTACCAAAAAATAGCCTCCATATCGGTCACACTTCTTATACACTCCACTGGCTTTCTACAGTTCCCAAACATGTTTGTGACAAGAAATCTCCGGCATTGAATAAGAGCTATATTCAGTGTAATAATTTAGTTGATGAAGTGACTAAGGCTTACAAGATCCAGTTCAAAAAAGACATAGGAGGTTTTCTTGAGGCAAGGGCGGAAGAGCTTGTCTCGGGCGGATTGATGATTCTATCAGGACAATGCTTGCCCAATGGTATCCCAAAGGCTTTGACATGTCAAGGTGTTGTGATCGATATGATTGGAGATTGTCTTATGGATATGGCTAAATTGGTAAGAAATATATTTTAAAACACTTTTTCTTATATTCTAAGTTTTCGAAATGTTATTTTGGATTATTTTGTGCTCTAATTCTTAATGTTCTCTAAAATGTTAAAGAACTAACTCTGAATTTTTACACTTATTGTTGCGACTTGTTTGTGTTTGTAGGGAATAACGAGCAAGGAAAAGATCGAACATTTCAGTTTGCCCACATATATCCCGCATATTAGTGAATTCAAGGCAAACATTGAGCAAAATGAAAACTTTACGATCGAGACAATGGAGGAGATAAGTCATCCTATGGATTATATGCCATTAACCAACGGCTTCATCACTTCCATGTTTCGAGCCATTCTCAATACGATTATTGAAGAACACTTTGGAGACGGTGTGGTCAATGAACTATTCGATCGACTTGCTAAGAAGCTCGACAAGTACCCGATTAATTTCAGAAGGTGTAAAAAGTATGTGAACTATTTTATTGTGCTTAAAAGAAAATAAAAATGGAGATAATGACAACTAGTTATGTCATTATTGTGTAATAATCATGATAATAATGTACAAATCATGTAATGTGTGTGCGTGTGTGAAGTGTGTTTTTGATTCAATAAAAAAAATGGTCACTTGTGCGTGTTTCATAAATTCTTACTGTCTTTCATAAATTCTTACCAGTATACCTGGAAATTTAATTACTCAGACCAAACACAGCAGTGGCATAGAGCCGTACTCTCATATTAATCATCTGAGTAATATATGTTCTTGTATTTTCTTTTAATTAATTTTTATCTTCAAGACTTCACTTCATGATCAATTTTAGTATTATAAAACTTTTTCTTCTTCAATCTCAAGTCATTCATTTTTTTCTTAGTCAATTAACACTAGCACACACGCAAAGTGCGCATAATTCGCCAAATTAGTTCATGTAACGCCCCGACCGCCACACCTCTCTTAATGGGCCCCACGTCCTCTCTCGAGCCCATGGGCCCACCATCTTCTGACGGCCGGTCCGCTACGTCCGGGAGGCTTTAACGACTTGTTTACCGACCCTACAAATCACCACATGATATTTCCCTGTGTTTTGTCCTCACTCACACAGTTCCGTCAATCACTTCCCGGAAGGTCACCCATCCTAAAACTACTCCAGCTCAAGCACCCTTAACTGTGGAGTTCTCTCAGGACAGTTGAACGAAAAGATAAGTGCACTTTGGTGATATAGGTGGCCAAATTAATTCTTTTAAACTTCTCCGCATGCACCACCATATTCCTGAAACCGGGGTGTTACAATTCACCCACACTAACAGATCGCAACGTCCTCGTTGCGCACCAAGACTGTCACCCCCGACGGTGTGATCCCTCTTGACTTCACACTTGTCTGAGTTCGGCTTTGATACCGCTCGTAACGTCTCGACCGCCACACCTCTCTTAATGGGCCCCACATCCTCTCTCGGGTCCATGGGCCCACCATCTTCTGACGGCCGGTCCGCTACGTCCGGAAGGTTTTAACGACTTGTACAAATCACCACATGATCTTTCCCTGTGTTTTGTCATCACTCACACAGTTCCGTCAATCACTTCCCAGAAGGTCACCCATCCTAAAACTACTCCAGCTCAAGCACCCTTAACTGTGGAGTTCTCTACGGACAGTTGATCGAAAAGATAAGTGCACTTTGGTGATATAGGTGGCCAAATTAATTATTTTAAACTTCTCCGCATGCACCACCATATTCCTGAAACCGGAGTGTTATAATTACTTGTAATACCCCGACCGTCCCTACCAGTAGGCCCCACATCCTCTCTCGGGCCCATGGGTCCACCCCTATCCGACGGCCGGTCCGTTACGTCCGGGAGGCTTTAAAGACTTGTTTACCGACCCTACAAATCACCACATGATATTTTCCTGTGTTTTGTCATCACTCACATAGTTCCGACAATCACTTCCCGGAAGGTCACCCATCCTGAAACTACTCCAGTCCAAGCACGCTTAACTGTGGAGTTTTCTCGGGATGGTTGACCGAAAACATAAGTGCACTTTGGTGACATAGGTGGCCAAATGCATTCTTTTAAAGCTCTCCATATGCACCACCATATTCCTGAAACCGGGGTGTTACAGTTCTTAACTTCTTGGAGTATTTTGTATTGTTGTATATTTTTTTTTGTTTTCAAATCTCAAATTTAAAGCTAATATTTCTTTTTTTTCGTTATTTTTAATTTGTTTATGTTTTGTTATTTTTATCAAAAAGAATTTTCCCTTATTTCAGATTTTAGTAAGTATAATGCTCTTTTTGACTTGCACAACGCCAAAAGAGCTGTGGCTTGTGGTGAAGAAAACATTAGTGGAGAAGCAGGTTTTTCTGGTGGAGTTGGAGATTTGGCAAAGGTACTTTTGTGATTAACATTACTAATTATTAGACAACTAGGTTTTGTGAGATGTGATATTATAGATTTGGCAATGTTGTTTCAGTTTCTAATTATTAGAGAACTAGTTTTTGTTCTTTGCATAAACATACAAAACTAAACTGATGTCAAAAGAAAAGAAAAAAACACGAAACTAAAAGCTCGAACATCATCTTACAAGAATCTATGAATTATTTTTGAAATTTTAAATCCATCGTCGTGATGAACAACGATGACGAATTAAATCTTTATGCATATACTATCACACAAACATTTAAAAATAGTCCAATTATTTCTTAGAAATCAAATAACATTGTCACGGCTTATACAGAAGGATCTAATTTCCAACAACAAATTAATAAAACAAACGGTAATAACCACATTTTGCTAATTCAATCTTACTCGCGAGCAACTTCAACAAGTTGTTTCCCAACGTTCTTACCGTGGAAGAGACCAATCAAAGCAGAAGGTCCGTTCTCGAGTCCTTGCGCTATATCCTCCACATATGTTATCTTTCCTTCTCTTACATATGGAAGCACAAAATCCAAAAACTTGGAGTATTTATAAAAGAATTCGACCGCTGCAAAACCTTGAACTCTAATCCGTTTGTAAACAATGGTGGCTAAGTTATGTACAGCTTCTGGTTCCTTTAGATTGTATTGTGAGATCATTCCACACGCTGCGATTCGCCCATGTGTCCTCATGTTTTCGAGCACTGCGTCTAACATTTTTCCTCCCACGTTCTCAAAGTATATGTCTATTCCTTCTGGGAAACACCTGATTGATCCACAAACACCGAAACCAAACAGAATTTTTTTTACAAAACCGAACTTATTGCAGTCCAAATGAATAATAAACCGAATTTTTTTTTTTGATTCTGCTTCAGTAAATTAAATATACACATCCCTAGAATTTACTGACCTCTTCAGGGCAGCACTAAGATCATGCTCTTCCTTGTAATTGAAAGCATCGTCGTACCCAAACTTAGTCTTGAGAAGATCAACCTATAACAAAGAAAGGAAGAAGGGGACACATCACTTTCTTGATAGCAAGACTAAATCAAAATGTGAACTCCATTACTCTCAAATAAGTGATAAAGACCTTCTCTTTACTACTGGCGCTTCCAACGACATAGCATCCGGCCATCTTCGCAAACTGTCCCACAAGTTGACCTACTGCACCAGATGCAGCTGAGACAAAAACAGTCTCTCCATTCTTCGGAGAACATATTTCGTAAAACCCAACATATGCAGTAAGACCAGGAATACCTTTAAAAGAATAGAACAGAGGAAAACAGATTATAGAAAATAAGTATTCAAAATAAAAAAATAATTCTAAATCAAAACAAAGCATAAATAATCATCTACTAAGTTTTGATAATTGAACCAAGACCTAACTCATATAAAGAAGCAAATCAAGAATTAGAATGCATTTAGAGAAAGCATATACCAAGAAGTCCAGTGTAGAAAGATAATGGAACATCGGTATGATGAATCTTGAAATGTGAAGAAGGAGTTGGAGAAATAACACTATACTCTTCCCATCCAACTCTTCCCCAAAGTAAATCTCCATTTTTGTAATTTGGATGATCTGAATCTATTGCTTTAGCCACTCCATACCCAGAGATTGGCTACAAGACACAACACAAAGAAATCGAGAGTGAACTCCAAAGCAAAAACAGTCGTAATTTAAAGATTCTTATTTACCTTGCCTATAGAGTAAGCGAGAGCGACGGAAGCCGGGGACGAAGGGTCGGGTTTTTCCATGCGAATGCGGCTGAAAGGATCACAAGATAAGTAGAGGTTCTTGACTAGAACAGCCATGGATCCGGGAGGTACACGTAAGTCAACGGTGGTTGGGGCAATGTAGAGGTCGGATTCTTTAGGGAATCCACTCACGTAGTTACGGAGAACCACCTGGTTGTTAGTAGCTGTCGTCACTACGCCGATGTTCGCCATTTTTTTTGCGGATTTAAAATCGATCTCCTTCTATAATGACGGTTTAAAAAGATTGGTAAACAAAAATATATATTCTCACTAATTGGACAACGATTAGAATGAATTTTTTGTTTTTGTTTTTTTTTTGCTTTGGGAATAATAATAACGAAAGGGAAAATTCCCAAAAAAACCCCAACTATTTAATATTTGCCAGAAAAAAACCTGAACTTTTTTCGATGCCGGAAAAAAACCCCAACTAATTTACCGCTGACAAAAAAAACACGAACTATTTTGTTTTTCCAATTTCCTCTCGTCTCCATTACGGGCGTTAACGCCGTTGTTGACGCCGTTACTATTTTTTGGGAAAATTCTTGAAAAAAACCCAAGTTATTTAAGTTTGCCAGAAAACTACCCGAATTATTTGTTCGTTGCCAGAAAAATACATAGATCAATATTTTTCTTTTCTTTTCTTTTCTTTTTGTCTTCCATCAACAATGTAAGATGGTTAGAGCTAATAACTTTTATGTGTTATCTTGAACCTCATAAAAGTTTTCAGTTTTCACTATTACTTAGGACAATTAAGTTTTAAAACAAAAATATACAAATAGATTAGTCGAATTTTTACATTAGATTTGTTTTTGGATCTATTCAGACTTTACAAATTTTGGGACATCATCAACAATGGAACACTAAATTTCATAAGAGCCCCAAAAATCTTCAAAAATTCTCTACATAAATCGCAAAAACAAATACTCCAATCAAGCAAAATCCACCAAAGTTGAAGGTAAAGCTAGCTTAATCAAACCAACTCAACGCTAAAAAAAACGACTAATCTAATTGTGTTTTTTTTTGTTCTAGTTAAAAAATTGGGGAATCAACTAATGTAATTGTGAGTTTTGTTCTAATTGGGAAATTGAAAAATCGATTAATTTAATTGTAGTGAGAATTTGTATGAGGTTCAAGAGAACACATAAAGTTATGAGGTCTAACCACCTTACATTGTTAATGAAATAAAAGAAAAAGAGAAAAATCTTGATCTGTGTATTTTTCTGGCAACAAAAAAATAATTCAAGTATTTTGCTGGCAAAATTAAATAACTTAAATTTTTTTAAGGAATTTTTCTAAAAATAGTAACGGCGTCAACGACGGTGTTAACGGCCGTAACGGAGACGAGAGGAAATTGGAAGAAAAAAATAGTTCGTGTTTTTTTTGTCAGCGGTAAATTAGTTGGGTTTTTTACCGGCATCGAAAAAAATTCAGGTTTTTTTCTGGCAAATATTAAATAATTGGGGTTTTTTTTAGGAATTTTCT